CATTAATTTCAAAATGTTCTTGAAGAATTTTTATTTGTTGATCAGTGAAATGGGTTCGATTAGCGCGTTTTCCGTGATTAGACGAGTGTTGCTGCTGATTTGGAATTTGATGAGGCCCACCAAAAAGAGCCAAACCTGCTGGATTTTGAGAAAATGGAAGACCAGTTCCCGGAGGGAAAAGTGATGGACCAGGAGGCAAGAAAAAACCTGGAGGACAGTGAGATGTTAAACGGGACAGACTAGATGGTGGAAAAGATTGTTGATGTGGTATATTAGGAATGCATGCGGACGGAGATAGATCTTGCCCATCGTTTTCACGAGATGCGCTAGATTGATTGCTTCTTGTATCTTGATAAAATGGTATTTCTTTTTTTATATTATCTTTAGGTGCAACGTTGTTGTTATCACTGAACGTTAAATTTGACGTCGCAGTAGATCTTGCGGAAGCATCGCTATAATCATTTGCCGCTGATGTGCTGGCAGCGTTTGAATCTGGTTTTGATTTCTCAACTGGAGTCACTTCAACCGAATACGTTTCATCCTCGTTGTCTCCAGTGAACAAAACGGTAGTTGGTGGATTGTTAAAATTGTATGGAGAATCTTTGCTTCGCTGCCTTTCTTTAAACAAAGTATTTCGAAACCAATGTTTTATTACTTTTGGGGGTAGCTGTGTTGATACAGCCATTTCTGCAATTTGATCATCGTTTGGAGAATTGCTTATATCAAAATGTGCTCTGAGAATGCTCAGTTGTTCGTCTGTTATTCTGGTTCTAGCTCTCTTCTGCTGCTGAGCTGTTAGCGCATTGTTGACAGCCGTCGAGTTTAATTTCGGCTGAGAAAATAATGGCGAGCCAAGAGGGGGGGCCGGTGGCATCATCAGTGGAGAATTTGAAATAGCAGAGAACGAATGGCTTGAAGATAATTCGTGGCTGGATTGTGGTTGTACAGAAGCATTCATTTGATTCATTAACATGCTCAGTCCCGGAAAAGCAAACATTTCTGGAGTGAATCCAAAAGGAAACATCATGGGAAAAAATGAAGGCGGGATCATAGGCATGTTTAATAAGGGATTATTGGCAGCCATGTTATTATTATTATGACTACTGTTAGAAATAGTGTTATTATTGTTTGGATTATTGAATAGATCAAGTCCATGCGGCATCATCATCATCATAGACATCTGTTTGATCATTTCCATTTGAAAAGCTGGTGAGTTAAAGTCTGGAAAGTCTTTCTGGTGCGGTTCATTTAAATGATTTTTTATCAATGACATAAAATTTGCAAGTGGTGGCCCTGGTAAATTAAATCCTTGATTCATTCCATTTAAATTGTTAGCAGATGGGACATTGGGGATTTTGTTAGAAACAATGCCAGAGTTTGATTTTGATCCGGCGTAATTATTTGAATTGTTCTTCATTTCATTAAACATGTTAAAATTGTCATGTTCGGCATGTGATTTTAAAACGTCAGAACTATTTTTGCTGTTAATTGCAGAAAGATATTGCTGTTGCTGCTGCTGAAAAAAGTTACTTTGTTTTTCGTAGCGTGTTCTAAATTCTTTTGCAAATTTCTCAACTAAGTCAATAGGAACGGAACCCTTATGTTCTTCTTCTTCGTGAGCTTTCAGAACCCAGATGCTTGAGAATTCTTTGCAACAAAAACGACAGCTACTTTTATTCAGTTCTGGAATTTCGTTGTTCAAATTTTCATTTTCAATTTTTATTCTTTTAGTATCGTTTCCGTTTTCAGAATTATTTTCTAACAATTCGTTTTCATTTTTTTGTAGTTGCTGTTTTCGTCTGAAATATCTCAATGATTCATTGAATAACATAGCACATTCAAATCCGACATTTTCAAGAAGTGTTTTGTAATAACTAGACCTGTGTCTGAGATTCATTTTTCCAGCGCATGTTGTTTGCTGATGGAGTGCTACTTCATTGTTGGTGCCGGTGAATGACATACATTTTATGCACGTATAAAGAGGTCCAGAGTCGTTGTTATCAGCTGTTTCCGATTCAAACAAGTTTTTAGAATTGAGATTATGATAAGATAAATTTGATAAAAACGGTGAATTTTGTTCTTTCCAATTTTTTAGTTCGTTGTTTCTTTTCTTATTTTCGCCATCAAGATCTTCAGAGCTGTTTTTATCATTATTTAAACCATTTTTACTTCTATGCTGTGAGGTTTTATTGTGCGAAATAAGCTCCGTCTGTTTAGCAAACGCCATCTTGCATCGGTAGCATTTAAACTTGCAAGAGGGATCTTCAGATGAATATTTCAAGCTGGCTTTTTGGAAATTTTTGTTCATCTGCTCTTGATCGTTTGACAATTCTGTCCTGCCATCTTCCTGGTAACTTTTCATAAACTGTCGTGCAATAAGTTCTAACTGGTTAGCCGAGTGCCTGTTAACAATTTGGATTACCTCGTTTAAAGTAGTGCTAATTGGTTTGAGATTGTCGTAACATTTGTGCTCAGTTCGAACATGCAGAGCAAATGAAGATAAACTATCAAAATTGATGACACTGTCCGATTTATTTTCTTCATCTTTTAAACAAATGTTGCATGTTTTAAAGACATCCATTAAATGTTCTAGTTTGTGTTTTTCGAGCATGGAGAACTCTTCAAAAACAGCTTCACACTCATCACAAGTACTTTTATAAAATCCATTAAAATATTTTTCTGCATTAGCAACGTGTACATTTTCGTAATGAGACTGAACTGCTGCTGCGGTGTTCGAGAATTCATCGCACCTTGGAAACCAGCAGACATAGCCAGGGTGCTGCGTGGATTGCTGGCGTAACTCCAGGTGACCAAGTTCATTCTGATGATCAAACAGCATTTGGACAGTATCGAATTGATCATCACATATTGGGCAAGTTTTCGTATTTGAAAAGTCGCATGATCTGTTCAGGTGCTGATTGACTGCAAATTTTAACAAATTGTTTCATAATTTTCAATTCTAATGGGCAATTTTTATTTTTATTAATAATTAATTAATAATTTAATTGAACTAAAAAATGAAAATGTTTTGAATTCTAAACCTTTTTTCAGCATGGAGTCAACTAAAGTTTGTAACTCGACCAGATCTGTTTCCGACATATCAGCAAATGCATCATCGAAATTGTTGCTGATGATTTTTTTGTTTTTGACATCATCTTCATCGTTTTCATCATTGAGGCATTTTTCAGCAATTTCCTCGTCATTATTATTTGTGACGTCATCATAGTCATCATCTTCGTCATTATCATCGTCGTCGTCAACATCGTCATTATAATTGTTGTTTCCATTTTTGTTTATGAAAAATCTGTTGTTGTTATTACGACTGCTAAATAAATTGTTGTTATAGAAAATGTTGTTGTCATTAGTGATGTTGTTGCTGTTGCAGAATTTTTCAACAAAAGTTTCGACGTCTGACAGAGGAGCGTCCTGCTGCTGCTCGTTCATCATCAACACCAGCTCCAACATCTCAGGCCGAACTGTGTGCACCTATGCAACATTGTTGCGGTTGGTTGCGATGGTGATGATGATTACAATCAAAGTTAATTGTGATGATGATGATTACAATCGGAGTTAATTGTGATAATGATAATCATTGATATCACAATGTAATAATTACAATCGGAGTTAATTGTGACGATGATGATGATGATTACAATTTACGTGACTATGATGATGACGATGAGTATGACGATGATGACGAGTATAATGATTGTGGTTGCATCAAGTTTTGCTCAATTATTGTCATACAACATAAAAAAACTGAAAAACTTCTCCCGTACCCGTGCCATGCATATTTGGCTGACCATTGGTTAAGAAATAATAATATTATAATTGGACGAGTAGAATACATTTCCCAATGATCAGCAACAAATCATTATTAGTACGCGTGTGGTGGGCAGTCAATATTCTTCAGAACTTTTTAAGTTTAAGTTCCACGAGAATCATTGTTCATTTTCATAAAAAGTCATGAACGCATTTGAAATAACAATGAAAATTAATTTGCGATTGGTAAAAGTTGGTCTATATGTGTAACATTCCGTTTCCGTTCATCAACTCATTTATCCATTTTTTATCCATTCATCCATCCATCCATCCATCCATCTATCCATCCATCCATCCATCTATCCATCTATTTAAATATGCTTAATAATAGCCACGCTAAAAATGTTTGCTCATTATTATGTCAGTGACACGGCTGTAATTATTGACAGAACGACAGATGGATGAAGACAAAACAGAATGAGAAAAATAGGTGGATGAATTAATATGAGTGAGTGATTGAATGAATGAATGAATGAACGAACGAATAAACAATAAACGAAACGAACGAACGAATGAACGAATGAACGAATGAACGAATGAATGAATGAATGAATGAATGAATGAATGAATGAATGAATGAATGAATGAATGAATGAATGAATGAATGAATGAATGAATGAATGAAAACATAAGTGTGTTAAATGGATGAATGGATAAAAAAGCGAATGAATTAATGTATGAATTAGTTGAGTGAAATTACTTTATTAAAAAAAATTTAATCACTAAACAAACATACTCAGTAGCTGCTTTTTATTTCAAACCAAGTGAAATATTACATAACATTTTAAAAAATTGCAGAGACTTCAGAGCTTTCCAAGTAACATTTCCATCTTCAATGAAATGAACCACAGGCAAAAAATTGACACCCACACGGAAAAATTAATTAAATAATTTCATTTCATTGGTGGATGTTGACAGACGTGCAGTTGTTTGTACATGTGACGTCAATGCGTTCGCTCAATACAACATTTTTATTATTCTTATACATTTATTAAATTGGAACATTGCATCTGAATGAAATTATTCGAATCGAATCTAATAAATCAAATTGCAGTTCTTTCTATGAGTGACAGAAACAATGGAATGCATCTATAGCAACAATTATATATATATATATATAGCTTAATATATGTATATATATATATATATATATATATATATATATACACACACAATATATACATACTATTTGTTTATGAGGAATAAATAAAAATGAGTATTGCTGATAATAGCAGACGTAAGAACAAAAGATTATACATGTTATATATATATATATATATATATATATATATATATATATATATATATATATATATATATATATATATATATAAGATAGGCTGTAATGTTTCAAATGAATGAATGTAATGACTTTAATTGCCTATGTACATACCTATATGCGATATATTTAGTGAATGCATATGCATGTGTAATTGTGTATATTAAATGTATATTATGTGTTTCAGTCTATCTATTTATTTGTATACTAATATTAACTGCCCTCCAAAATAAGGTATATATATCATAAATGTCGGTAGGTAGATATTCATCTATGTATGTGTGTGTGTGTGTGTCTGTATGTATGTATGTATGAATGTTCGTAGGTAGGTAGGTAGGTAGGTAGGTAGGTAGGTAGGTAGGTAGGTAGGTAGGTAGGTAGGTAGGTAGGTAGGTAGGTAGGTAGGTAGGTAGGTAGGTAGGTAGGTAGGTAGGTAGGTAGGTAGGTAGGTAGGTAGGTAGGTAGGTAGGTAGGTAGGTAGGTAGGTAGGTAGGTAGGTAGGTAGGTAGGTAGGTAGGTAGGTAGGTATGTAGGTATGTATGTATGTATGCATGTATGTATGTATGTATGTATGTAATAAAAACGTACATACTTGCATACACATATACACAATACATAGACACAAGAACGTACACGCATATACAAACCCGCACCGCACGTACACACGCACATGTAGTACA